TAGCAGTACAACTAAGTGCCCAGCTCAGACTGCATGCATAAAAGTGAACCGGGTAATTTTTTCAGTACCTCTTTAAATCAAGCTGTATTGATACTCTTTGGTGCTGTATGTGTGAAAATCAGATGGTCAGGGAGAGGCATTGTTTTAAAAAAACCAAACCACCCAAAAAGCAAAACTTCAAACATCAACCAAAAATCTATACTGCAACCCCTCTCCCCATCCAAACTCCATGTAAATAAGGATACAAATTAAATACTTGGAATTGCTCGGGTTAGCACCAGCAATTACAGCACCCAAGCATGCTATAAACATCCTATGAAGAGAAACCCTTGTTTTATTGTTTTAGTGACTCTTCTATGTCTGAATATTTCTAAAACTGGCTATTGAAATTTCAGTGGATGATTAAACACATTCGAGATGGTCTTCACTTCAAATTATGCCTTCATGAGAATGACGTTGCAAAAGCAATAGCACATAGTGGAATTAGAAGGCATTTTAAGAAATTAACATTGTGAAATGTAAATGCATGCTGCAAAATCTGTGTGTGTAAATACTTCAGCTGCCTGTCTGTGGTCTTCATGGCAGTAACTGAGTGATGTTACTTTTACTGAGATAGGCCATAGTTTTGTAGAGCTTTGATCTGTTTAACAACATTAGTTGGAGAGATTAACACAAATTACTACCACTGTGATATTTTAAGTTTTTGGAATAGAGAATCTTTTGGTGTTTTTAAAGCAGTCTGTCTACTGTCAGTCATAGTCACAAAGATAAAAACTTAATATAGTTGAGCTTATTTGGAATTAGTTTACTGTTTTGCTGAATGCTTAGATTTTATTTTAGAAAGAAAAATTGCAACTTCAGGTTTCCTTCCAGAGCATTCAGGCCCTGTGTCATGAGCATACTTGGATTTTGCAGTGGCTACAATCGTACTATGTTGTGTTCATCATCACTGTTTAAAGGACCTCTCAGGAGCGTATGATGTCAGCCAGATGTTTTACATGATTCTGTTGGAGCTGCTATGATGTCAATGGAATAAACAAAAAGCTTCTGCAGATAATCCATCTAGACCCCCTAAATTCTCTACAGGGTATGAAGCATGATGGTTCCCCTGGCCGTAAATTACATCTAGATAAATCAGTCCAGCTGAAAGGTGCTGCTGTCTTTTTTAAAGTTATTTTTAAATTTAATAAATTGCGTTTTATTTGGTGATTTACCTCTTTGGCTTCAATGTTGCAGAGCTCCTTTTTAACTGTTCATTCTTCTTCATTACTATGCATGCATTCTGTAAAAAGTAAACTAAAGATTGTAGTTATTAGCCATTAATCAAAGGTGAATGCTTTAGGTGTGGAATGGCTTTAAAATAGTAGGTAGGGAGTTTTACATGTTTTGAAAAGGAAAGATGAAGCATAAAATAACCATGGTGTCAGTTGCCATCCTGCAAGATGTCACAGCTAGAAATAGTCTTGGGTTGTATTTTTCAAGTACTTTATTCTGTCTGTTGGATCTTTCTCTGCCGTAAGTATGCCAGAAAATGTATATGTTGATTCACAGGAAGGGATGTCTCTGCCGCTTTGCTTCCATTAACTGGTCTGTACTCTGAAATATTTTACTGGTGTTGCAAAAATCTGTTAGAAGTAAAAAATAAGTAGGG